CCCACCCACCACACACACACACATTGATTTTAATTATAATTGTCGATGGCTTCTCCTCAATGAATAAAGCATCAGTTTCTGATTTCAAAAGACATTATTGAATATATTATCATTGATAATCATTGAGGACGATGCGTCATAGATCACTAAATGCGTCATAATTAATTTCTTCTCTATGAATTAAAATTATCACACAATTCACTATCACCGGCATAATTTCCTTCAACGATCATATGTTTCATTATTTTTTATATTATTGTTCTCTAAAAAGCTCCCTTGGCGAATTTGCTGAAAGCACCCAAATTGCTCGAGTCATCTCGCATGGTGCTAAAAGGGAAGGTTTACATAAAGGAATTCTGGAAAAAGTGGCTCTAATTTGTACTATTTGTGTAAATTTTGCAAGCATCCCATAGTATGCTTACATATCAATTTTAAACACAATCAAATACGAAAGTTTGAACCATCGAATTACCTCTAGCCATAGATGACATGACAGTTTTTTGAAATCAAAATTGTACTTCCTGTTCCAGCAGTTTGACAGCTTCTAATGCCTCGTTCCAGCCTCTAAATGATGGTGTAGTATAAACAAGTAGGCAGAATGGCATTTTGGACCTAAACATTTTTCTTTTTTATAGACTCTTTCCCGTAATTGTAGGAATTATGGACTAATCTCAACAACTTCTAAATTAGCCAAACTTATTATTGGAAGTACAAATCATTGATTAATAGAATAATTAGGCCACACACTGTTTTCCTTAATTAGAATGGAAAATTTCTGCCGAGTTAACTAACTTTTGACTTGGACCCACAGACTTAAACCAATACGATGTCATGGTCCATTGCCACTATTGAAAAGAAAATAAATTAATTAATTTTAATTATGCTATCAACGTACCTCACATGTGCAAGTATTATTGAGGTTGTCCCACAACGATTATGGAATGAGCTGGTGGTCAGTTTATAAGTTAACCTCATTTCTTGAGCTATCTTTTGGAGTTGAGAAGGCGTAATACCACCCAACACTGATATTAAAACACAAATTATCAACAAATCTCAGACCCAACAGTCATGGGAGATGCAATTTGTGTGAGGGGGAGACGAGTTTGGTCTCACCTATGGCCCATTATGTGAGGGGGAGATATGTTTGGTCTCCTGCATGGCCCAATGTGTGAGAGGAAAATGGATTTAGTCTTTCACAAGGCTCAATGTGTGGGGGGAGATTGCTGAGGTTATCTCACGTCGGTTATTGAAGAAGTTGGTGGTCACTGGCCAGTTTATCAATGTAAGGAAAAGTTTCACCTCTTGAGCTAACTTTTGGAGTTGAGAAAGTTCAATACCACCCAACACGTATGTCTAATTTTTATTTTTTCACTAGAGGACCGACCAATTGACAAAAATGGTATGACGTTGAAACAAGAGAGGACATATCTCTACACCATGCATTGACAATTTTAGGCAATATTCAAGCACATGATTAATGTCTCATTTAATATTCTTTTAAATTATCTCATTTAAAAACTTATTTATTAAAACGAAATAAGCTAATTTATGAGGAAATTACATCCATACCAGTATTTAAAGATTGAATTTAAAAAATGAGGTTTAAAGTTTACTTATTCAAACATCAGGTAAATAAATATACTCTCCCCACCCAATTAAAATCCTAAATTATTTTCTCCCTCTGCCCATCTTTTTCCCCTTTTTCTCTGTCTCTCTTATGTCTCTCCCACATGGCCGTTGCTACCGAGTAGCAAGTGCAGCTAATTGCGATCTCATCTGAGCGACACACTACCTCAGCAGCGATAAAACTGACTACCCGAAGCTATGGTTCATTCGGAGCTATAGTACATCATTGGTGCATGTCATATTAGCTCGGCTTGAGGAGGCATTCAACACACCTATTTTGCAGGCTTATGTGTGCTGTTTTGGAGGCTAAAGCAATGACAGAGGCAATCCATTGTTGGAGGGCAAGCCACTTGATGGCTTCGAATCCATTGTCGGAGGATAACCCATGTAAGCCAAGGTCAGTCGGGAAACCTGTGGGTCAAGAGATGGTGATATTGGATGAGAATGGGGTGCAACAAGAGGCTAATGTCAATGGGCAGTGGTGGTTGTGTATGTTGAGATCTGGGTGGTAGTGGTCGTCGTGATAGTGATGAGGTGGTGACATTGGTTGCAGTGGTAGTGTGTTATTATTATTGCTGGTGGTGACGGTGGTGGCATAACGACAGGATGTGACGAAAAGTGTCTGTGACCAACTATTTGGTCGATTTGTGAGCAAGTATTGGTGTTGGATGAGAATCGGGATTTGGTGTTTGGGTGTATGTGACTAATTATCTTGTTCTTTGTGACTAACTATTAAAATGTGACCTTAAAATTCGATAATTTGTGATCAATAAATTTGAAAATATGTGACAATAGATAAATCGTGACCTTTATTTTCTTGATTTGTGACCCTCGAAATAATATGTGACCAATAAATAAATTGTGACCTGTAATTATGTACATGTGACCATTAATTGTATAACTATGACCGTATTATGTTTAATTAATAAATTTTTTTAATTAATTACCTCATACCTGAGTTTTGCAATTTCAAATTATACATCTGACTAATGATTTGGTGTAAACTAAGTCACCGAATTATGATTTTTTCCCCCAAATTGATTTGGGTTCAACAGTAGTGAAGCCAAACATATATATATTTTGTACATGTATCAAAATTAACAACTAAAATTCTATCACGTCGCTATTTGCTTCTCTCTCTCTTTTTTTTTTTTTAAATTTAGATGTGTTATTTTTTCTAGTTTTCAAAGAAAATATCCACACATTTCTATTTGTATTGATTTACACATCGATCCTAGCTATTAATTGGACATATAAAAAATCAATACTATATTTACACGTTAGAAACTTCTTCCAATTTAACAATATAAATATTTTATTTTTTTTTCAAATTTAGCAGTGGGGCTGCACTAATATTTTTCAATAGTTCTTTGTAAAATATGTAGTTGATGATTTCAGTTTTATAATTTTATTTTTCAAAATTCAGGGGCATATTTTTTATGAAGTTTTTCTTAAATAAACTTCTCGCAGTCTCTAGTTGATCATCCTAATTTTATGATTTTCATTGGTATGAATTTTATATATAAATAAATTTGAAACATTTTTTAAAATATATCATATATATCAATTTTTTTTTTTTTGGGTCAAATTATCTTTTAGCAAATTTTATAGGACAGGAACTGAGACGATGTATAACAGTAATCTCTTTAAGAAGAAAGGGGAAATGCTAGAAAAAAAATACTTTTAGTAATTTATTTATTGAAAGATAGAGAACAATTAAATCTTAATAATTGCCAAATATTAAGTTGTTTTGAACTTTTTCTCCCTCTTCTACATTATCACATAACTCATGTGAACGCACTACAACAAAAAAGTGTTTTTGCAACATGTAAAATAAAACATTCATCAATTAAATGTTGCAAATATTGCCATTGGTGTTAGTAATTGAGATTTGACAACATTTTTTAAGTGAATGTTGCTAACGTTACCTTTTGAAAAAGAGTTAAAGGGCAACGTTGTGGAAGAGTATATGGCAACAGTTTTTAAACGTTGCAAAAAATGGACTTTTGTAACGGTGAATAAACGTTACTGTATCTCTTCCCTCAATGACAACCTCAACCCTCGCAACACATTCTAAAACGCTGCAAATGATCTTTTGCAGCGTTTTTTGGCTGCTGCAAAATCCCTTTTTTGGTGTAGTGACGGGAGCTTTCTTTATTCTACACAAAACATGTCTCAACTATCTAATTATTTGTTACCTTAATAATCTTTGATTTGTGCCACTCCCCTTCTTAGTGTATATATATTCAATTACTATCTTATCAATTTTAATAAAACCATACGTGATCTTAATATCTTCATTTTCACTATGTATCTCAAAGATTTTTGTTAGGTAATAGCCAAACACTCGGCACCATTAAGCATAAACCCTATTAATTGTAGTGTAGAACTATCTTTTCAACCTTATAGAAATTTGAATGTCACACATAACTCATTAGCACTTTTTTATTTCACTTATCACACTCTTATCCTGAATCATTTTGAGGTTGTTTGATAAATTTTTTTGATAAAAATCTAGCAAGTTTTGATAAAAGTTAATGAATTATGTGGTTTAAAAAATAACAAAAGTTATGGATCGTGTCAAACGAATGGATAAAATTGAAGTCTCACAGTTAAAAAGTTAATAACAGTTGCGAAAGTTTATGAAACAAGCTCCGAATCCGGCATTATACTAATATAGCCTTATGTACCCTTTATACCTTAGAATCTCCACCGTTAAGCAATATAATGCCAAGAATATTGCTCACCAAGAAAGATAATTAAGGAACTTCAAACAGACAAAACCAGAAAAAGAATAATATACATACCTACTCAAATTCAAGAAATTATTTAGTTATATAAATTCATGCCTTAATTTTTTTTAACAAAACTGAAAATTAATATTTTTTCCCAATATATAATAATTTCTAAAATTTTATCTCTTAAATCCAAATTCAGCATTTGCAATTCAAAAGATGAATATTCCAATCTTCATATATATACATAAATTTACAGACAGTAAACATAAGTCTCATTTTACAAACTTGTAAATATGGTAATAAATTGAAGTAAAAAAAACATACTCTTGAACATATCTAAGCATAGATCATGTATTTGGTATCACAAATATAATACCCTATTATTTGGAGGATGAAAGGGTAAATTTTTATCTCTTATCTTCTTCATCATATCGAATTCAACCCAGATATACATACATACATACAAATACAAATACAAATACACACACATATGTGTGTGTGTATGTATATATAATTGTATGGCTCAATTTGAACAATGATCAACAATATTATTCATGATCTGTACTTGGGTTCTAAGGCATTTTATGTAGTGAGCAGTTTCATTCAATAATCTGCAAAAATCCATACCTTCACCACCTGGTACAAGCTTCTTCAGATCATTTTCCCGATGAAAATTTAAGCTATTTCTAGGGTTTTCTCTTACTTTTCTCCTCCTCAAAGCATGGATTTTGCCTTTTTTCTTCAAAGTGCGATGCAAAGTACGGTTTCTTATCTTCCATAGTACGGTCCGGCTCCAGGCTCTTCTCGACCCGACTGCAGAAGCCATGGATGCATAGGATGCAACTCTAATCATATGATATCTCCTGTATGTCTCCTTCATGGATGGTGAAACTGAAACACTTCTAGTCTTGTTCAGTTTCCTCAGGGCTTGAACGAACCTGTAAGTGAACCTAGTTTTGATTGAATTAGGGTTTGAAGGAGTGGTCTGAGTAGTCATGGAGGGCAAAGAGTAGTGGAATTTGAAACAAGAAATCCAGAAAACAGAAGAAAAATTTAGGGTTTTGAGTGTAGGGTTGGTGCCTGGCTGTTAAAGGCAAAATCTTTTTGGCAAATGAATGGAGCGGGCAACAAGGAAAGATTTTCTTCTGACACAAAGGGGCCTCCCTGTTCAGAAGGACAAAAGAAAAGAAACTTCAGTTCAATTCAGACTTCTGACACACAAGATCTACTTATAATTTATAATTAAAAAGTGTGTGTGTATGAGAGAGAGAGAGCGAGGGAGTCCCCGGCGGGGAGGGGGGTGGGGGTGTCAAGAAAGAACATGTGAAGGGAATGAAGAAAAGAAGAATATTAGGAGAGAAAGGATTGAAAATGGGAGGTGAGAAGGAGACTTGAGAATCAATCTTTTAAATTTTGTGAATTTTAATTTGATTTAATAACAATTAATTAATGTGTTTTCATCTTTCATTTTCAATCAAAGCTTTGGTTTAGTGATGAAAAGAGAGTTTAGTGGGATTGGATAAGGGCCAACCACCATATGATCGCACATGGTTCCATTACCCACTTGAAAATTTGTGGGACATACAATTTTCTTTTTTTCTTTTTTTTTTTTGGGTTCATTATTGATATCTAAATTACATATTTGCCTATACAATTTCTACTTTGTCTCTTTTTCTATTGTCATGCAATTCAAAACCTAACAAATTCAGGGCGACTGTGATGGATACTGGCGGTGGAGGACGGAGCACGGTTTGCAAGTTATAATAATAGATGGAATCGGAATACATAACAAATACTCTCTATCAATCATGCTACTTGTATAATAATGGATGACAACATTTGTTGGTTTTATCACATCCATCCATTTTTTAAATTGTCAAAAACTATTTTTTAAACCATTGGTCCTGATTTCACCACCTCCAATATCATCAACAATATTTGTCAACTCTTTGTAGATGCAGTGTACAGACAGCTCTTGTTCCCTGATTTGTTGGGGCACATCCCACTATTTACCTCCCTCACAAAACTCTAGGGACGGGACAGTGAAACCTTTAAAGTTGGGGTTCAACCTTTTTTTAACAATATTTGTCAACTAACACTATACAAATAGCTTAATTCTACTCTCTATAATCAAGAAAATCAAGCTCTATGAANTTACATGTGAACCAGAAATTTGTTGCTGTCAACTCATTTTACCAATGTAAATTGTACTTCAAATAAAAGTCACTTAAATTGCAACCCGAGAAATTATGTAAAACTGAACTTCATTTTGTGATAGATTTTGTTTAAAGACCTATGTATGAGGGATTTGTGTGTAGCACATACATATTTGTCGAGAGCTATAAAAACTATACTTGAAAACGTTTTATAAGTTGATGGAATGTTTGGAGTTGGGATTAATTTCGTTTGTTTAACCAATTATAAGTACCAATATAAAGTAAGTTATTCAAGAAATAATACATTTAGTTCATCCAAAAATATTGCTCTCTTGACCTATTGCTCACATTACTAAGTACTCTCTAGTCTCTCCCATAACCCCCCAGGGGAATTTCTAAAAGCAACTCAAGAGAAAATATGCTTGAAGCACGATCTTTACTCCATTTCTCTAAATAATAAACAGGTTATACTAAGAAGTAAAACTCGACCAAATAGCTTCTCGGTGTAGGACCATAATTCTTTGGGCTATTTATCCCCTTTCTGCAACGGTCTGAGTTTCAACTTCTTTATTCTTAAGAGAATCCTCCTCTCTTTAACATATCATATCAATCAATCAGTAGACGATATAGTAAATATACATCATAGATACGCTTGTGGTAAGAATCAACAATCTTAAAAGAGCCATTAATTTAAGATAAGAAAGGATTTTCCTCGAATCAATAAATCTCCACATAAACGCATACACAAACAGACATGCAAACCAAATGCACGCTTGGCTGGAAATATTCTTGAAGAGGTAGCCTTCAATAGCAAAAGAGGAACATGGTAGGTCCATCTTGCTTGCTTAGAGGTTAATGTGACATATACATACAAATTATACACATCAAAGTACGCTTTAAAATTAAGACTTCTTAACTAATTCCATGATTAGGGTTCCATTTACACACACACACACACACACACACATATATTCACATGCATGCTTCTTCTTTAAATCAATTTGTTGTTAGGACCACTAGAAATTGTCTTATGACTCATCAACAGGTGTATTCCTTAATTAATATCAACTAAATGAATAATTTATATAGCATTAACTTCTCTTGATTTGCCTTAGAGTCGAGCTGTCATGCACCCTATATTCACGGAAAAACATATTGTAATGTTTAATATATAAAGAGTAATGCTATTTGCAGTTACTCACTGCGTCAGTCGCTCTACCTGGCATATACATGACAGGTGGTTATTTGATGCATTAATAAAAAAGAGTAATGTTATTTGCAATTACTCACTGCGACAGTCGCTCTACGTGGCATACACATGACAGGTGGTTATTTGATACATTAATGTGGTAGTTTTTTTAATTCATTAATGCATCAAATAACCACATGTTATGTGTATGCCACGTAGGGCAACTGTCGCAGTGAGCGACTGCAAATTGCATTATTCATATATAAATAAACAAATTTATCCTTTTTAAAAAATAATAATAAATGTTTAGATGAGATGATTATTTGATATGGATTTATGGCTAAAAATGATTCTTGCTTCAAAACTAAATATTATCTATTTTGAAAAGTGTCTCTTTCTTATTTAACAAAGCACAAAATGACAAGTATCATCTCCCACTTGACCAACGCCTCCTCTGTTGAGAATTAGAAATCATAATTCTACTCCCGAGAGAAGATTCACAACCCTATCTTCTTTAAATCTCCACCCCTTCCACCCGGTCTTTCATGATGGTAATACAAAATTCTAATGACGACTAGTGGCGGATTTAAGGGTTGGCCAGCTAGGGCGGCCGCTCTAGCAAGATTTGTCGGAGAGTTTTTTTTTTTTTTTTGATAATAGATAAAAAATTTAGGTTATATAACTAATAGTTCATTTTATTTTTAAATCTCTCTTTTACTTAATTGGTTAGAGCTTGCATTTTTATATTACAAGTCTTGGATTCGATTCATTTCTGGCTATTTCATTGTGCAAAATTTTTATTTCTACAATATTTAGCAAAATTAAATCCCTAAGGAAAGGATTCAAACCTATAACTTTTAATTTGGATGATTGGAAGTTTAACCATCATGGCAATGGTTGAATTTTGGATCTAAGTTTAACAAAATAATATATGTTAAGACTCTAGGCAAGTCAATGACTATTTTTTATTTATTTTTTGTTGGTTTTTGTTATTTCAAATATTTTATGCTTTAATAATTTATAAGATGTGACTTATGAGTTTTAATTTATATGTTATTTGAGAATTTGTCTACTATGAATTGTGATATTAAAAATTAATTTGAATATCGTGAAATGTGAATATATGATTTACGAAAATTGAAAATGAGAAATTGGGGAATTTATAATTTGTGATGAATTGGTGTTGAAAATTGGAAATTGAAACTTTAATTATATTTTAAAATTAATTTTAATTACATTTAATCTTTGATTCACGTTCAATTCTCACACTGATTATAGAATGATTTTTTCAATTGAATCTCAATCTAGTTCTTGTAGTGGTGTATCTAATTTTTCAACTACTGTTAATCAAGTAAATGATTTCTTAAGCATTGATAACACAAAGAAGTTTTATGTATTATGTAATTTATATTATTTTGGATTGTATTGAAATATAATATGATATAAATATACGATTTTTATGTTTTAGTGTATTTACATATAGATCGAAGAATTTTTAATATTATTTTATTTAATATTTATAAACGATATCGATCGATAGTCAACGACCAATGATCAACGGCTGCCCTAACTGAGTCGAAATCCTGGATTCGCCCCTGATGATGACTTCTATTTATAAGATAAATTAGGGTAAAATTGCTATTACTAGTATGAAATTAGGGTTCTCTACTTTACGATTAGTATACTGACTCCAAACAACAAAAATAATTAAATTCTATCATTTAACAATCTCACATTTAGAGACTAATTCACCATCAATGACTTCTCTGCAGTAACAACAACTCCTCAATCTCGAAAGAGAAGTCCAACTAAAATATGGCTTCGTACAACAACAATAATTAATTTTCACAATTTAAGATTCTCTAAATGGTTGGATAGAGCTTAATTATTTGAATCTTGTACGTGTATACATTTTTTATTCTTCTTCGTTTTTATGTACACACAAATAAATATCGTAGATTCAAGAGATTTATTCTTACCTTTACTCCCATAAAAAAATCGTCCAAGTCTTTGTATGTATTTACATATAGATCGAAGAATTTTTAATATTATTTTATTTAATATTTATAAACGATATCGATCGATAGTCAACGACCAATGATCAACGGCTGCCCTAACTGAATCGAAATCCTGGATTCGCCCCTGATGATGACTTCTATTTATAAGATAAATTAGGGTAAAATTGCTATTACTAGTATGAAATTAGGGTTCTCTACTTTACGATTAGTATACTGACTCCGAACAACAAAAATAATTAAACTCTATCATTTAACAATCTCACATTTAGAGACTAATTCACCATCAATGACTTCTCTGCAGTAACAACAACTCCTCAATCTCGAAAGAGAAGTCCAACTAAAATATGGCTTCGTACAACAACAATAATTAAGTTTCACAATTTAAGATTCTCTAAATGGTTGGATAGAGCTTAATTATTTGAATCTTGTACGTGTATACATTTTTTATTCTTCTTCGTTTTTATGTACACACAAATAAATATCGTAGATTCAAGAGATTTATTCTTACCTTTACTCCCATAAAAAAATCGTCCAAGTCTTTGTAAGGATTGAGCAAAAGGCTAATGAAGGAAACTTTAAGCCAAAAGGGTATTTTGTATTATGAAATTTTGACTAATGAAGAATTTTATTTACTAAGAAAGTTACAAAAGAAAGTTAGTCCTTTTCAGTTTTCAGAAAATTTCCTCCAAATAATCTTTCATCTTAACTTAATTGAGTACAATTGCATTTAGCGTGCTGATGATTAGAAGTTGCTTATAATCTTTATCATCGCTAATATTTTAAAGTTCGGGATGTAACAAGTTGACTTCAAACATACTTTCTTTTCTTTTAAGACAGTTGAGTTGTTCCAACATTTTAAGTTCGTCTACTGGACAATCTTCATCAATTTCAATGTTAAAAGTTACGTGTGTATTGAAAAGAGATTATCGGCTTATTTTTCAATGAAATAGAAATAAATAAA